CTCAAGCCTCATAATGGGGATTATATAGGGTTAAACCCTAAAAATTTGGGTTTGCTGATTCACAACGTACGCCCAGCGTATATATCGTACGCCCCGTGTATGAAGGTGTTCCCCCCGCGTCTCAGGTGAGTACGTCGTGCGTACTCACATTACGCGCAGCATAAGAATCCCTTTTCATATTTAACAATCAACACTTAACCAAAAAAATGCCAATAAAAATAATAACTCACAAAATGGATGTTACACTTAAGTTATATGGATGAAATCTCAGATTTTGGACTATGGTTATCGTTTTCAACAAATTCCTATCCATTGTGACTCTCAAAGTGCAACTACGATCTCTCACAATCCAATTCAGCACTCCTTGACCAAGCACATTGATATTCAGTACCATTTTATTAAATATCATGTTCTAAAAGGTAACATTTAGCTCATTTTTGTTCCATCTGATGATGAAATTGTTGATTTCTTTACTGAGGCATTAGACGAAACCAAATTTATTGGGTTTTTGAACAAAATGGGAATGATAATGTCTGATCCTCAATTCTTTCAAGAAGTTTGTACTCTCTAATAGAAACATTAGAAAGTCAAATAATTCCTAATTAAAACCTTTTTCCTCATAATTATTTCTTCTCGAAAAATAAAGGATCATTATATGTCTTTTTATCTAACCTTTTCTTCATGTCTTAAGATTTTCAGAATACTACCTTACTTGAAGATTCGCCCGATAGTCACATCGGATACCTTAAATATTTTTCCTCAGAAAGTTTTCTATGAAGTACACCTTGGAATTCAAATGCGACATGGTAATGTGATTTCATCACTTATTTTCTTTCCGAGCTCTATTCCTTCAGATCTAGGAATTTCAAATCTCTTGTTCAAAAACTTGTCCTCTAAGATCTTCATGCAATTTTAACCTCTGATATTCATTTAGAGATTGTGCCATATCCAAATCTATGTCATGTACTAATGATGAGTTTCATTTCTTTCCGAAGCATCTCTTGACATTCCATCTCGGAATCTGATTGTTCCGAGATTCTTAGTAATAAATGAATTTTAAGGTTATCATTTAAGTTCTGATTCCGAAACGTTTTCTCATGATTATCTTAATGGTAATTTATTTTATGATTATCTTTTTAATTCACAATAAACACGATTTTGACACACGTTTCAAAAAAACTACTGAGTGTTCTGAACTGAATCGGCGGTTTTCCAAAATTGAACAAACAAACATCTTATCATTTGGATGCTAACTATCACATAGGGAGCCTTTTTGGCCTATGCATAAGCGAAACCCATTTCGGATCTCAGGTTTCATCATTTAACTCTTCGACCCGACCCACAAGTTCCAACATATATAAGGATTTTGAATCCTAACGGTTTCCACTTTTCACTTTGGTTATTGTCTTCTTAGAGTTTTTTCTTCTTTACTCTGTTCTTCAATCCTTTTATCACTCTCTGCAATGGTTTCCAAATCATCCGTTGTGGCTCCAAAATTATCAAAACCTGCAACAAAGAAGAAATCTTCAAAAGGGTATGCTTCATCTTCCTCAACCAAAATCATTCTCACAGAAACCACCCAACTGTTCTTGCTCGATCCAATGGATTATGATGAATCTGTGAGGATCATGATCGAGTTCATCGCCCATCATCTCATCATTATTCCTCTCACCAAAATCCCTAACCTTAATTTCCATCTCATACTTCTTCACAAAGCCTTCGAGCGCGTGAAGATTGAAGATGATGTTCTGGAAGTGAAGATCATTGACAACAGGATTGTACCTCTTCACAAGGTAACTTTTCTCATAGCCATTAGAATTGCAGAAAAACCCAAAGGTTTCAAGTGAAGGAACCATCTTCTGAAGAGTTTCAGTCATTCTTGACTCAAATCGGCTACAATGGCGAGTTCAAGGCTAAAGAGTTCAAGAAATCATTTGTTCGTGGTCTTTGGACTATCTTGATGCATTTTATTCTAAGGGGTTTTTACGAAAAACATGGTGGTATAGACACTATGATCAAGGATTTGCTTTATGCAACATTTTCACCAAAAAAACCAACATCATCGATCTACTGGAAGTCCTGTGCCAAGAATTCAGGATGTTCACCATCAAAAAGAAACTGAACGAGATTCCGAGTCTGAGATTCTGGGCTCTGACTCTACAACAGTTGTACTCCAAGAGACATGAAGCTATTTCACTCAAATCAAACATCCGAGATGTATACTGCTCTTGCAAAATTATCAAACTTATAGGTTGCCAAATCAGACTATTTTCGGACCTATAAGACGTTTACCTCAACACATGTTATGCACTATTCCTTCTGACTCACCACATCTCAAAAACCATCCTGAGACCTCGGTTGTGTCCGACCCAACACAACATGCCCCGGTCTTGGATGACACAGGCTCGGAAGAGAATGAATCAGCTACCTCCAAAGGTAGAGTAAAACAGATTGCCAAGAAAAAGGCATCCCCTTCTAAATTCAAAGCCAGAAAGAGAACCAAAGTTGGTGAATCCTATCAAAAGGATTCACAAATCGACATTTGACCTTACTCTAGGTCTCAGCCTACCCCACCCAGCCACTCTTCCGAAGTACCCTTCGGAGTTTCAAAATCACAAAATGTACACACTCACGGGGAGTCTACAAGTAGTCTACCCCCATCTTCCCAAAAAGATGGTGTCGGTATTGAACAAAGTCCCTTGGATCCCCCTAGGACACTCTCACGAGTCAACATGAATTTTCCCTTTTCTTCTACACAAGCATGATTAGTGGCCCCTGTCACTGATTCCAAGCTTTCAGAGACAGGAGTAGTCCCTCCTATTTCAAAAGTCGCGACCGGTAATGATAATTGGTTCAGGTAGAGGACGATCGGGTATTTTTGACAAGGATTCGGCAAATTTTGTTGACATAGCCCATACACTGCATCCGGAGCTATCAAGAGAACAAGTGGAATACATGTTGATCTCGATGCATCAACGAGAAATCAGCAGTCGCATCCCCTTTGTGTAGCCATCAAATGAAGAAATTCGTCAAGAACTCAACCTTCCATCAATGCAGTCAAGGTCATACAAATTTCAGAAGTTCATGTTCATGACGATACTGTGAATGATCCTCCACAAGACAGTGTTGTCGGCATAGGAGATGTTCACGGGCCAACCAATTGATGGGTTTTGATACAAAATATAATTTTTTTTATAAAAACTGCAACGGAAGAGTTTAAAAAACAACAAGTTTATTTTTGGTTCATTACAAAACCAAGCCATCAAGGATCCATTTATAGAGGTTAGAATGAAATAAAAACAACCAAAGAGTTTTTAGAATGATAACCTTTGATGCTTTTGAACACACTTGGTTTTGGGTTGTTGATGAAGATAGCAAAAAATCAAAGAACATGATTTTCTCTATGTGTATCCACCATCAAGAGTAACGCACTTGGAATGCTAGTTCCTTCTTGTATTCTTGAGTCTTTTAAACCTTTAAGTGCTTAACTCGAATAATCACTAAAGGAGACAACTCAAGAAGGCTTTAATTCTTCACTTGACTTCAAAAGTCATGGAGAGAGGATGAAGAAAGAAAGGTACGGTTTTAAAGGAAGAAGAGAAGAGATTTCACTTGCAAAAAACTATCTCAATTCGCATGCATAAGGCACTGTTATATACTCTAGGCAAGGTAAGGGCTTTACAATAAAATACTCTAAAGTATTTTTAGCCTTTAGAATCATGGGAGACAAAGCATGGAGGTTGACAAACAACCTCCATACCTTTATATATATTTTTGGCTATACTTATTAAAAGAAGGAAGATTCTTCAATTTTTATAAACTCAAAGTTTATAAAATATATACTTTGTCTTTAGGTAAAAAACAAAAGAATCCAACTAGTCCAAAAGGTTGTGCATGACTTATTAATTCATACCATATGAAATAATAACTAGTTATACTCTCTTATAATTATTATTTTCACAAAATAATAATTATTCTCAAATTAAAATACAAGAATTGATATTATTTATTAATAATCATATTAATAATAAATATACAAAATATGCCAACTTGATAAAGGTGTGACCCTATAGGATCATATATTATTCGCAATGTCACTCAATAATGATTCTTGGGCATATAGATTCAACACCAATATCTCGGATGATCCTCCTCCAAAGTTTGTGAGTGTTACAGATGTTTCTTCTCCAGTTGCCAATGATGAAGTCTCGGAAGAAATCTTCTTTGAAGATGACGGCACAACTGTCGGTATTATTCTTGTTCCCACCTCGTTCAACCTTTTTCATAAGCCTTCCTCCACCAAATCTCATTTTCATTTTGTACTTTCTTCGTCCTCGGAAGCTTCAGATGAAAATGTTGAACTCGAGAAAAGTGATGTTATTCCTCTTCCTCCATAAAACACATTAGAAGGTCATCAAGATTCTCCTACTCGAGAAAATTCACATGATGATGACAAGATCAAAGATGATGTTGATCACAAATCTAAAAGTTCCACTTCGGACACGGGATCCTCCGATGAAAATATTATGGATCCGTTTTCCTTGCTGGAAAAATAAGACAACGTTGCTATAGTAAACTCCAAGGTTGACAAGGTCACTCAGCTATTAGCAAGTCTTGAGTCAAAACATGACCTAATACTCACATCTCTTTTAGAGATCAAGGCTACCACTACATCCGAACTTGACCATGCCAATCAATTGGACCAGCTTATCCCGCTTCGTTTGATTCGTAGTCTAGAAGATGTTAAAGCCCTTTACAAGGACAACCTGGATCATCACATCACTACCGTCAACACTATGCTCAAGGTTCATAATGATATGCTCTCTACTGCAAACACCCTGATCAAGCAAACTCACATTCTTCATGAGAAACAGATTCATAGGTTGGAGAAAGAGATTTGTCACAAATATGCAATGAATATGGTCATGAAATAGGTACTTATCAAGGTCATCCATGCATCCCAACATCATCAGGATGTTCCGAACTACAATTTTGATGAAATGCTTCTCATTCTCAATGAAACCTTTTCTCACCTCAAAGATCAAGCTACAACTGTCGAAGCTTATGATTCACTTTCCAAGCAAATCAATATGAGCTTTAAACGAGTCTTTGACCGTTTAATCAAGCTCAAGTCAAATCCATTGTTTGCATTGGAGGCAGAGTCGTACCATGCGAGAGGGGGAGAACAGCATATGAGAGAACAACAGAGACAACAACATACAGTTCAATGGAGATCAATCTCAGAATTTTTTCTCCAAGATGAAGATTCTAAAAGAAGAATCTATGGAATTAGATACTTCAGAAGCTGATGAAGATGATTTTATGGATGATGTAATTCTTGGACTTCAAGCTATTAGGGAACCTCCCACCAAAATCCTTTCAAAAGCAGAGAAGATGATATTGTCCTCTGTTTCTTGGCCATCATCTTTGTCCGAAGTATTCAAAAGGAGATGAGACATTGCGAAGGTCAAAACAAAGCTGACAATTGATGCCTTCCGAGCCACTCAACCAATGCCCCCTCTAATTCCAGCTCCGAGGATTGACCAAATTGATGCAGGTTCTCCTATCAGAAAACCAGATGAAATCCCTGAAGAGTCTTTGCTTCCTCCTCCATCCAATATATTCATTACTCCATATGGCCAACAAATCATCTCCTCCATCTGATCTCAATTTGATCAATCAATAGACAAAAGGAAACAAATTGCTACTGGTTCAGACAGCCTAATGACATCGTACAAAAAGTCTGAGGGTTGGTCAAAAGAACAGCTACAACAAGCACTGTAAGAAAGCATTCATATTCAAGCACTCAAAGACAATCCAAATCCAATGTTGGGCATTTCTCGTCTTTTCCGAGAAAGGATTCTTCATGACATACACTTTTTGCCCTTTATGTACTTTGATCTTCCAACACACGATTTTGATCAACTTGACCTACCAATTTCTCGTCATGGACGCTAATACATCAATTTTGCACCCATGCATCCATCTGATGATCCACAAATCATCATCCAAACTGAGCGTGAAAGATTGAGAATTTTATATTCTATGAACGTACGACCCCAAAAGAAAGTGTGATCTCGGAAGAGAATTACCAACAAAGTTGGTCATGGTAGAAAGGTCCAAGTCAAGTTTGATCTTGACTGTCTTCTATACAGATATTACATATCTCGGAATAAGGAATCCACCATCACCATCACTTATGCAGATTGTCCCTCAATGAATCCAAACGACATTCTCATTATAGTTGCTCATCTCCGAGATCTCTAAACTAACGAATCAAGTATTGGAGCTTAAAACTCCGCCATCAGATTTCTCAAGGACTATAGTGCTAAATTATGTAGATCCGATGTGGAGTTTGCTCATCTTTTCAGAACTAAAATTTTTTTGGCCAAGATCACTATAGAATTTCCTGAAGCCCATGTCTTAGCAGAAGGTCCAATTGAAGAACCAGAACTTGGCTATGTCTACCTAAAAAAGAAGACAAATCAAAAGGAATTTTTTAGAGTGCTTGACAAACACCTTGTTCCCACCAAGATTCTTCAGAAGTTCATTTCAAATGCTGCCAAGAGTGATTCTTCCAAGCATAACAAAAAGAAATTTATTCAGCATCTCCAATGGTACATTGAAGTCCGATTGGCTCCAGAGTCCTTACTTGTTTGTGTTTGATGAAGCTAAGTGGTGAACTAGATGATTGTTAAGGTCACTTAGGGGGGATTGTTGGAACATGAAAAGTGATCCTTAATCAATCCGAGGTGAAGCATTTCCGAGGTGATGATTTTCGAAGTCAATACAACTCCGAAGTTATAGTTCAGTATGAGACGCATCCTAGTGTTAAAGTGTTTTTGAGTATGTAATGTGCATTAATTTTTAAAAGTACTATTTTGTTCTGTTCCCATTGTCTTATTGTACAGTAAATGAGACAGGATCAACAGTAACGGCTATGTCAGTCTGTTGATCTTCAGAAGTCTAGCAGTCCACGCTTACTTTTTGTCATTTGTCTTTTAGTTACTCCTAGTCTATTTAAGGAGTAGTCACTTATGTATCATGTGTGGAACAAGCATCTTTTTCACATCTATCAAGGAATATTCATTTAATCATTATCTCTTACATTCTTCTTGATTCTTGAGTTGCTTTACATTGTTCATACTTAATCATTTATATTATTGATCACTTTGTTGATTATCTTAATTCCAAGACAAGTCTGGTTTACCAGACTTGACTGGATCTTTATTACTAACAGACATTGATCTTAAGTTAACTCAAGGTTTGAGTTTTCAAACCTTGTCCACGAAACCCTGTTTATTTCATTCACAATGTGTCAAAACGTTTTGTAGGTATAGGAAATTAAGTCTCTTTAGACAAAGGAATTTATGTTTAAATTACAAATGAAACAAGATCTATAACCATTGGATATGATACCTATTGTTAGTAAACCTGTGATATGCCTATTATCTTGAGCTATATATGATATAAGTTGTTTATAGCATCGAAGTCTCTCTTATCTCAATTTCAAAGACGTCAACAAACTTACAAGTAGAGATATGGTAATAGGATTACATGTTCTTAAATATGAGAACAACACTTTTTGTGATGATTGTGAACAAGGAAACAAAGTCAAAAACGTCATTTCATAATCATTGACACAAATATTGTCGAACCTTTGGAACTCTTACACATTGATCTTTGTGGACCTTCATCGACTGAAAGCACAAATGGTAACAAGTAGACCTTAGTAATTGTTGATTATTTTTCATGTTTTACTTGGGTATACTTTCTTACGTAGTAATCAGAATCCAGTCAAGATTTGATCAACTCTTTTAAATTTTTTGAACTCAAAATCATAAAGCATGTTCAAAAATTTCAAAGTGATAATGGTACCAACTTCAACAGTAAAATATTCGAAGAATTTTTTATAAACAAGGAAATAGATCACAATTTCTTAGCTCCTTGTACACTATAACAAAATGGAGTGGTAGAACGAAGAAACATATCTCTTTACGATGTTGTATGATCAATGCTTACTTTTGCAAATCTACCTATTTATTTATGCGTTGATGTGATTTATATTCCTTGTTTTACTAAAAAATGGCTCATATATTAATAAGAGATTCTCAATCACACCTTATTAAATTCTAAATAAAAGAAAACCTAATATGAATTTTTTTTTCATGTTTTTGGTTCTAGGTATTTTCTTCTAAATTCGAAGGATCATATATCGAAACTTTTAAAGATATTTTCTAAAGGCCAAATAGTTTTCCTTCAACACAAGTGAAAACTCTAGCGATGCTAACTTTTGATGCATATTTCAAAAGGTTGTTCGAATAACAAGAAACCACTAGTAACTCTAAATCAAATGTTATTCATCACTCTACATTAGAAGCTTTAAAAGATTACATATTTGTATTTGATTATGTTGATGTCACACCCCAAAACCGGAACGGCGGAAACGTTCGGGGGTGGAGGACATCATGTACAGTATCACAACAATGCAAAGTAGTAAACAAGCAACAACATCATCCATTGCATTAATAATATAATTTCATACAAGTGTGTTCTGCCAAGTTAAATAGACACCAAAAATATGTATCAAAATAAAAGATGAGTCTTGAACGAGCTCCATCTTCTCAAAACCTGGCACCGGTACCTGTCTACTGGTGACCTGAGAATACAAGTTATTTTGAAAGAGTTTATCAGCTTTAAAGCTGGTGAGATCATAAGTATATTAGTGTCTGTATTTGTATGAAAGCATTTGTAAGATGTTTGTCAGATGTTTGTAAGATGTTTGTAAAAGTGTTTGTATAAGTTTGTAAAAGTTTGAATTCTCCTAGAAAACCCTATGTTTCCTACTAAAAGTAGCCTTCTACCAAGGCATCTAGTGTCTGTGTGTGTGTCTCTTGTAAGAGTATGTATTTTCCCAAATCTGACTATCATTAACCAAAAATATAGTTTTTACATTACTGTTCATTGTGTGAATATTCACAAAGTGAATGTAATGGGAAAAATGGAATAGTACTGTAGTGTTGTATTAAGTAACTACTGCTGTACTAACTACCTTAAACCAATTGTTATTTAAAGTACCATGTGATCGGCCTGTACCCTGCTACCGACTCATAGAAAAACGACGATGTAAGACGTCGTAAGAAATGACGTTTGGCACCCGTAGACTTGCAAGTCCCACTGTAGCGAGCAGCAAGGTGTAGGATAGTCAATCCAGTATAGATCTATACACAAACTCATACGCTCCCCAATTAAGGAGATTCTGGATACAAAACGGTCATGGCAGGTGGTGCCATGCCCCGTTACGTGGCTCACATAACTGTAATAATGTATATGTAATGTATGTGCTAGCTGTATTGTGTGTTCTTCCTCTGTCTAGCCTGTATGTATGTTCTCTTTGTATGGTATTGTTTGTTTCTCTTCACTATGTATTATGTTTGTTTCTCATCACTATAAGTTATGTTTGTTTCTCATCACTATAAGTTATGTTTGTTTCTCATCACTATAAGTTATGACACATGTATGAACTGACTCATTGTATGTTTCATTGGTCTAGTAATAGATTTGTAACTTCCTAAACTATACCTATTATAGTTTACTAGTAATGTTGTTTGTATGTATGAACATGTTTGTATACCCTTGCTACCCAAAGGTATTGAACTGGAAAGAAATAACCGTTTATATCTATATACATATACATAATATATAACTAGGATTCAAACGACCTTCGGACAAATAACCTTGATACCCTAAGTCCACAACCAAACAAAGAACAGGAAGTAAGGTGAGCTACCAGTCCTAAGTCCTTTCAATCCTACTTATATAACTATATCTATATAGATACACTTTTAACAGAATATAAGTTTAAAAGAGTTTAAGTAACAGTATTTGACATGTAGAAGAGTTTGACAAAAGCATTTGGTATGAAAAAGAGTTTGTAAAACAGTTTGAACTAAAACAGTTTGGTAACACAGTTTGAAAAGTAAGAAATCCACTTGTTTGGTAGTTATTAATCACATGTGATTGATATAATAACTATAATTGTTCAACTTGTATTCCCCCCCCCCCCACATAAAAGCATTTAAAACATTTAAAAGGTTAATTAAGGGGTATGAACTCACCTGTAGTGAGTGGTTTAGATGAACGGAATGTATAGGATGGTAAGTGTCAAGTGAAGACTTGAACACACACAAGGATCCTAGTTAACATATAATAACACAAATATGTGACAACCCGAAATTTTCATTTGTATAAACTCCACGGTCAAGCACATCAAATTAAATCCAAATTCATTTTAGTACGTTTTTGGCCG